AAATCAATGGCATTGCTGTACACAAATAACAAACTTACTGAGACAGAAATTAGGGAAACCATGCCTTGCAAAATAGCGTTGAAAAAAAAATGAAATACTTAGAAATCAATCTGACAAAGGAAGTGAAAGACCTTTACATAAGCTATAGTACTCTGAAAAAAGGAGATCTAAGAGGATGTCAGAAAATGGAAAGATATCCCTTGCTTGTAGGTGGGAAGAACCAACATAGTAAAAATGGCCATACTCCCAAAATTGTTATACAGATTTAAATGCAATCCCAATCAAAATACCAATAGTATACCTCACAGAACTAGGTAAAATGTTTCTAAAATTCATTTGGAACCAGAAGAGATCTAGAATAGCAAAAACAATTCTGGGCAACAAAGGCAAGGCAGGGAGCATCACAGTCCTTGACCTGAAGTTATATTGCAGAGCTACTATGATAAAAACAGTATAGTACTGGCAACCCCCCCAAAACAAACAAACAAACAAACACCAATACAGACCCAAAGATCAGTGGAACAGATTAGAAGATGCAAAAACAACTCCAGACACATTCAGCCATCTCATCTTCCACAAAGGGGCTAAACACCTTCACTGGAAGAAAGATAGCCTCTTTAATAAATGGTGCTGGAAGAACTGGCTTTCTACATGCTGAAGACTGAAACTAGACCCATGACTCTCACTATGCATGAAACTAAAATCAGTGGATCAAAGATCTAAATATTAAAACAGAAACACTAAACCTGCTGGAAGAGAGAATAGGTGGGACTCTTGAAGACATAGGGGTAGGCAAAGATTTTATGAACAAAGTGCTTATCACATGAGAAATATTACAAAGAATCACCTGGGATCTCATCTTATTAAAAAACTTTTGCCCAGCAAAAGAAATCACCAAGAGACAACCAATAGAATAAGAAAAAAAATTTGGCAGCTATTCCTCAGACAAAAAGGACTAATATTTAGAATATATAAAGAACTGAAAAAAATCAACCCCCCAATTTTAAAGACCCAATCCAAAAATGGGTATCTGAGATGAATACATACTTCTCAGACAGTAAATATTTTTTAAGAATTGAAAAGAAAACTTAAAATGTAGAGTATGTAAATTGATATTTTTACATCTTTTGGGTCCTAAGATATTAATAATCTAGAGTGAAATACATGCCTTTAGTTGTTCTTTACCCAATCACTATAAAATCATTTATATCCAGCCAAAATACCTAACATAAAGAATATGAATGGGGTCACGTATACTGCATATTTAAGATGTACATGTCTCTCTCATCTCACTGCACTCCCATTTATGTTTCTCACTCCTGTAGCCTATATTTAACATGACCAGAGCCCTCATTTATTAGCAATAACATTTACAAATTTTTATGTTACATTGAAATTTTTAATTTTGTGTTGAGTATTCTATGTCATAGCTGTTTGAGGAGAAAGCAGTTTCTTTATAACTTATCATCCTGTCTTGCTGCTTTTTCCTTACATCCTGAAAATTTGGTAGAGGTGCTTTGGGAATCTGCCTTGCTTAATACCTCTCAGAAAAATATGACATACTACTTTCATAAAAACAGGGTGAGGAAAATTACCTTAGTGCCAGACTCAGCTTTCCTTCCTTATCTGACGTGGTGCTTTAGGGTTTGATAGTAGTGGAGAGTTGATATTGGTGGCAGTGACAGGAATGATAACACTTTTTACCACTTGCTGGTGGAAGTACAGAGCTGTCATGCTTGAAAGCCATGAATACAGCTTACTGGGGTCTGAAAAAATGTGTGACTAGAATGGTAGAGATACAGTACTTGGGCTTATTTTCATATGTTGTGGTATCATAAGCCAAGGGAGAAATAGTGTCATTAAGTCTGCTCAGCTCTTTTCCTCCTACAAAGACAGTATTCCTTAGAAGATGATAGCTTTAATATTAGTGATAAGCTAGTTTTCCATTTGTTTCTACAACTCAGTAGAACTGTGTTCCAAACATCTTTGAATTGCTGTAATATAATATTCTACCTCTTGTGATACAGTTATGCTATTATATTTCTGTTAGGTCCACTGTCAGCTGTAGTGTCTTTCATTATTTTGAATGTGTTTTGGAAAAAGATCAGTCTTCATATTTATTTTCTTCTGTGAACTGTAATCCACAATTCTGATTCATTTATCTCTTGGAGCTACATCTTCAAGTATTTTAGGTCTTTTTCCAACCTTATCTTGGTTTTATTATCTCCTTATTCTTTCTTTTTACGATATCATCTGGACTTCTTTTTTCCTCTAACATTTATAATTCAACTCATATTTAACTTCCTAGGAGTTCCTTGAAAGGAGAGCTTAGTTTACATTCAGGAGAATATACTAAAGTGTTTATCATTACAATATAAAGAAAATCGTCTCCAAAAGTTTCCTTAGTTTTCTTATTTCTCATTCTTTTTGGAGAAAAGGAGGAAAAGAAATACAATATTTTATATATTTTTTCTTGCTTCTTGCCTCCATTCAGAAAAATGACCTATTGCAGTCATCAGATCAAGAAACAAACTTTTCTTACATTTTCCAAGGTGACCTTGAAATAGTTTGAAGCTGCTTGACTATAATATAAAAAAGTTTAGTTATTTGAGCTTTATCAATATTATCTTGAGAAATATTGCTATATTTAAATTTTTAAATTTAGAAAAATTATCTTTATGCACCTATTCACAAAGAATGAGGAAAATATGTATATAATGAGTTCGCCGGGTGCTCATAATTAATTGAGAGGAAAAGCAAAGCATAGTATTTGTTCATTTTGTTACTATATATATGTTGATAGTTTTTCAGTATGTATTTATAAAATTTTACAAAGTAAAATTAAAAAGATATGTTCCACAAGAAAATGGAGTAAACCAAATGGAAGATGTAAAATAGATAATTTAAAATGTGAATTTGACAATCTAATTTTAAATAGTTTCTAATATGTGAACAGTCTTGAATAATATTATTCATTTTACTTCATTAAAGTGCTTTCCCCAAAATTCTTTTTGTGCTGCCCTTGTTTTCCATGTACTGTACACATAGCTGAATGAAATAGTTCTTCAGTCATTAAAGGCTATCTAGTATTTTAAGGTCCTCCTTATCGCCACACACCAGTTGCCTTTTAGAGAGTTGATGACCCCCGTTGATTCTGCCTTCATTGCTCGTCACAGCCAACACTCCTTCGGGGAGCTCCTGCCATTGTTTTTTGCTGGTCCTTTTGTTACACATCAAGCTCATGGCAGTAGCTTTCTGTCTTCTGTGTCTTACAGAATCAGTTCTGTCTGCATATTACTGTTAAGTGTTGTTGGAAACTCATTTCTCATATTGTTTTTCCCTTGCTCCGATATCCCAATATAACTTCCTAGGTAACTTCTCACTTTTGTATTGCTTTCCTTATAAGGAATATGTGCTCTTTCCAGAACATGCTGTAGTTGTTTTCTTCAGCAATGCTTTTGTTGTTATTAAATCCAACATAATGCTTTTCTTCATAAGAACTTTTCTTTTATAGCATTTACTACATTTTCTCTTATTTTAGATGTTTTTCTACTTTTTAATATAACTTGAGCATCTGAAATCCAAAAATCCAAAATGTTCCAAAAAAATCACAACTTTTTGAGCACAAACATGACACTGTAAGGGGAGAATTCTACATTTGACCTCATGAGATAGATTTCCATTGAAATGTAAGTAAACTAAAAATTATGTCCAGGTTATGTAGATGTGATGCATATTAAACATAAATGAATTTTTAAAGAAAAAAATATATGGTTATATCTTGCATAGCTATTCTATATCAGAAAAATTCTGAAATCTTAAATACTGATGGAGCCAGGCATGGTGGTGCATATGTATAATTGCACCACTCAGGAGGCTGAGGCTGGAGGATCGCTCATTGTGAGTTTGAGGCCAGTCTGGGCTACATAGTAAATTCAAGGCCAGCCTGAACTACATAATGAGACCCTGTCTCAAAACAAAAAAATACTACTCATCCCAAACATTTTAGATATGGAATTCTTGACCTATCTTGCATTGCTTTTTAAATTTTTAGGCTAGCTTTTTAGGAAAAATTAGCATTCATGCTTTTTGGAGGTTAAAATTATTAGTAACAAGGAAAATTTACATACTGAACAAAAGCTATCCTGAGGATAGTGATTTTAAATCTTTTCATAAAACAAATATGTCATAAAAAGTAAAAGTTGTCTAAACTTGTTCATTGATTTTAACCAGAGGTCAGTTGTTGGAAACATTTGTGAATAGTTTTTGAAAGCTGAATTTTTTTTTTTGAAAGCTGAATTTTTAACATATAGATATTATTTTAGTTCACATATTATGTACTGTTTAACACACTAAAAAGCTATTAAACGTTGTCAGTAGGTATAAATTTTATTTGTTGTAGATAAATGGATGCTCTTTTGTATACCCAAAAGATCATTACAGGTGAGCTAAGTGCTTGTTATTGTTTACTCCAGTGACAGGTACAGAAATAGTTTATAGGGCAAAGTTATAATGTCTGCCATTTATATTTTAGTTTGTTTCTTATTACAGAAAGTGAGACCTCAAGAAAACTATTAGGCAAATAGATAAGAAATCTGCTGTTATACTGAATTCTTTTTTTTTTCTTTTCTTTTTTTTTTTTTTTCCAGTACTGGGAATTGAACTCAGGACCTTGCGCTTGTTAGGCAAGTGCAGTGCCACTACATCCCTGGCCCCTTTACTGAATTCTTCGGCATGCTTAATAAACCTGAATATTAAAAATATTTAAAACACAAAGTGTTTTTTTCTTCACATGAAGACTCTAAAAATAGTCTGATTTTTATTAAGATTATAAAAGTGGGGCCGGGGATTTAGCTCAGTGGTTCTGCCTGCTGACCCAAGCTCGATCCCCAGTACCCCCCCCCCAAAGATTATAAAAGTAGGTACTAAAATTTTAATTTATGCTTAGGAGTCTAAGTATAAATTCATTTTCGAATTTCAAATAAAGATATCAGGACATATTCTGTGCCAAATGTGTTTATTGATTGAAAATTTTCTTAACACCTTTGATCATGATGTGTTGGTTTCTTTCAGGATTTACGAAAAAAAATCAGTCTTACTTATGCTACATTTTGTCAAGTTAAAGGATTTCTTTATTTCCAAAAAACAATGGAAAGAAAAGCAGAAGGAAATTGGGTGTTTGGCAAGATTTAATATTATGTTAGCATTATTATCAGAAGTAAATCACTATTTAATTGGGCAGTAAGCTCAGTGAATTCAAGCTATTGCAGGATGCTCATTTCCCTGGGGATTAGAGTATTTAGTAAACTAGACTTGGTGAATCTCATTTATTTGTATAAATGATATATTATTGTCTGATATGTATTTTTAAATTTAGAAATGAGCTGTAGTGAATACAGTATTAGAAAATAAAATAATTGCTGTCCAGCTAATAAATTACACTATAACAAGTACTTGGCTTATTTTAAATAACTTATTGCTACCTTTCTGATAGTGATATTAGCACTCATTACCAGCTTATTACATTATACAAATTGAAAAATATTTATTTGCTATGAGATTTCCAATCCTTATAATCTACAGTTAGAATTAGTAATTTCTTAGTTTTCTAACATGAATTGAGGACTGAAGAGAAGAATGCTTATTATGTTGTGATGAAGTAGAAAAAGTGACAAGATTTATTGTTGTCTTAATTATTTTCAGAGTGGAAACAGAACTACTTTATTATAAAAAGCTTAGGAGCTATGATTGCTTAGGAACATTGTATAAATTATATTACTCTGAAGCCGCTCTGCATCTAAAATTAGAAGCAGTTGGCTTTGTTAGGCTTTTCTACAATGCTATAAAAAGTCCTTTTTTTCCTCTTTCGAGTATTCAGATTTGTACAGTTAATTTCGTTTATACAAAAAGGCCAAGATGAATAAAGTTAAAAAAACACTTTATTTTAATCACTATTGTTTTTTTAATCCAGTATTTTGTTAACCTAGAACATTTGGCTTAGAATCAAGCAAGGTGAGGAAGAAAAAGGCTGGTGCTACTGTTTTCTTCCTTCCCTCTATTGTTGGGTTTTTCTGTATGTTATAAGCATAGTATCTTTGATCTTAGAAAATCAGTCTTTTTTTTAATAGTAAACTTTACTTTAAAATTTTCCCTGTCTTGGTTTGTATATAGGGAGTTTGTTTTTGGTTCATGAGTTTTAAAATACTAGGAAATCCTGTGATTTTCTACATTCAAAAGGAAGAATGAAGTTTCATACATAGCTGATTACTTTTGAAACATGAAATAATAGAGCAAGTACACTACATCAGGAAACGTAACAGTGGTACAGAGACTCCAGGACTGATTTGTTTTGAGCCTATGATTGTGGTTTTTGTTAAAGGCTATTCCAGTTGTCATCATATAAACGTATCTGTGTTTTGTGACTTAGAAACAATACACTTTATATATTTTAAAAAGCGGATACCTGTGTCAGTTACATTTTTAAGTTATACACTGTTTTAAGGCTATGTATTTATGCTTTAAAAAATATGACTTTACATGAATATTTCCTGATGGACATATTATTGACGAAACATGATATTACTTTAACAAACTGCCATGCAACAAATACATTAAGTAATGAAGAAATTGAATATATATGACCTAATCTAATTGACATTAACATTTGAAAATTTACAACATAACCAAATACTTAAAATGTTTTTTCTTATATTTGGCAGTAATTTCATTTTTTACAATTTAAATTTAAAACTCTCCTGAATATAATTTGATGAAACTTACAATTTTCCTTAGTCTGTAACAACCTGAGGTACTAAACATTTCTCTCTTATTTCACTATCTTCATAAGAAATTTTTTTGCTTCTTTTTGGATCTATCCAAGAGTTGTGTATTACAGCATTGTTAGGCAGGGGATCAGCTTCCACTATGGAAACAACTCGTTTTTTCATTTTACTTTTCAAAACCTTTTGAAATTTTTGTCTAGTGAATGCATATAACAGAGGGTGAAATATAGTTGTTCCATAAGCCATGACTAGAAAACACAATCTTAATTTTACTAAAAGGTCACTTGGGCCTAAACATAAAATGGTGGTATTTAGAACAGAAATTGGTGTCCAACAGAGAAGAAATGTAGAAATAATCAATAAAGACATTCTGAAGACTCTTTTCTGCCTTTCTCTTCGTTCACGGTGTCGTTTCACGGCTCGTCGGAGGGCAATTATTACAGAAACTGAAGTTCTTACACCAAAGACTACATTTCTCCCACCACTGCTTTGTGACATGTCTGTAGTCTCATGTGTGGTTAGAGAAATTGTCTTTTTCTTTCTTGCTTTCTTCTTCTGCCCTGTTGAAAATCTCGTGCCTATTCGAATATTAAGGGCCTGAAGTATCTTGGTGTATGTGATTAGCATTACTATAACCGTGAAAAAGAATATTGGGATCTGTACTAGAAGGTGATAATACATTCCCAGTTCAGTGTAATATTCGTTTGTACTGACACACAAAAGTGTCTTGTTTTCCCATTTATTTCCACTTTGAAAACTAAAAAAATTTACCTCGATAAAGGGAATCAGGAATGAGAAAAAAGAAAAAATCCAAATGGATGTCATTAACATCACAGCTCTGCCCATTGTCAGAATTCGGTTTGCAGGTTTTACAGAGATGTCATATCTGTCCAGAGTGATAGCAAAAACGTTGATTGCTGTTGAGACACTTGCAAAAGAAACACAAGCCTCGTGGAAACAGCAGATGAGAGCAGTGTTACTCTCCAGTGAAAGTAGAAGGATAACTATAGTTAGAGGAATACATCCCACACAAATTATTACATCGAGTACATGAAGATTCATTGTAATAATGTTACTGACAGAGTTGATTAAGTTGGATTTCATGCAGTAAAGTACCAATACAGTGAGGTTGCTGCCAAGTCCCAACACAATTTCTAACATAAGAAAGCCGGTGAGAGACACTTGAAAGCTTAATGGATATGACAGTGGTTGATACATATTGGTGTTGATGTCATCAATGTCATCTCGCACTGTAATGTTCGATTCAGACTGCATGTTGATTTCCAGAATGGGAGAAAAGCACATTATTTTGGAGCAGTTGGTTTTTTCCCTAGAAAGTGAAATAGAATAAACTATTTGATATTTGGCAATTTGAATGATGTATAAACATGTATTCTTTGTAAACAAAAATAGGTTTGTTGTATACTTACAATTCCTAAACTATTAGTGGAAAATGTAGAATTAACAAATGTCAAAGCGACAGTGATTTAATTTGAAAGGAAATTGTGTTCTCCTTTTGAAACTATGTGGGGATTGTTCCCCTATAGTATAAAATTAATATACTAAAAGGGTTCCATCATTTGGAAATAATTGAGATATTTATTTTTGAGAGACAGTATATTTTTATGCAATAAAACTACCCAGTATGCAAAACTAATTTTAGTCTTTTTTAACATTTCATTTAAAAATGTTGTGAGTAGATAGAAATAAATGCTATTTTAATATGCTTTTAACATGATTACTGTAGATATAGTCCTGTAAGATTTCAAATGAGTGAGACAGGTATTTATTTAAAAGGATAAATAGTAAAGATACTATCTTATCTATGTTGATGTACTCAGAAATTAACAAAGCACTAGAGGATATTTGGAATTCCTTCTCACAGAAAAAGGCAAATGACAAATATTTTGTATATCATAGTGAATTTTTACAATGGATAACTTGTGAAAACCACAAGAAGAGGTAGTATCCCAAATCAAAATGCCACAAAGCTTGGTACACGATCACTAATCACTCTTCTGAATGATTTATTTTTTGACTACATCCTCTTATATCTTGTGGAAAGAGAAAATTGAAATCTAATATATATTAAGAAATAGCTATATTTGAAGTGGTTTAAAAGAATGTATCCATTGGTTTTATTTGTTTAAACAGAGTTCTTAAAGTGAAAAATGAAATTTTAGTGAAAAGCAGTAGGTGAAGCCATTTTTTAAGGAAGCTTTTAAAGTTACACGTTATCTGTGAAACATTTTGTATACATTCCCCCAGTGTATAATTTTGAAAAAAATAAAAACTCTCTAGCTAATGCATGTAAATCTGTAATATGTAGGAGTTTAGAGTAATTTATAAAAATTATATCTGATTTTCTGGTCTGAAATATCTGTAATAAGTATATTTCAGTTTAAAATATGAAATCATACAACCAACTATATTTCACATTTCAAGTACAGCTTTTTGACTGCAGTTATATATTCAAACATAAATTATAAAAGCTAATAATTTTCAAAATTAATGTTAACCTTTTATGTGATTTTACCTTTGACAAGTTTTAGAAATATAATTTTATTTATGGATGTTACTTTTGGGATAATGTTTCAGAAACAGAAATGATAACATTATTAATTGCTTTTGAGTTGGTATAAATATTACTAGAGGCATATTTATTCAAATATACGGAGGTTTTAGCTAACACTGAAATCTTGAAAAAATGGAAAATTTAGTGTGCCAAATTTTCTGAACTATCAGATTAAATGCCAGGTCTTTGTCACATCAGTTAGCTAAAGCAGAAACGTCAAGTTAGACAACAATTAAGAAAAATGCATCTTTTTTCTTTTGTAATTGTTAAACAGTGTTGTGGGGTGCATGCATATTCTGACCTACCTGGTTGCTGTTGCCTTATGGGCCTTTTGGCTCACTATAGCAGTTTTTCACAAATTAATACATGATGTCATTGACAGATTTTGACATGAATTTTTACCTGACAACAGTGAAGTGGCTGTGTTTTAGTTCATGTCTTGTAGGAATTCTTTCATTTTCTCTCCAGTACTTCAACTGCATGAATTATGAGATTTAGTTGGCTGATGGATTTCTAAAGAACAGTACATAATATTTGTGTTTGTTTTGCTCTTAAAAGTCACGACCAAGAGAAACTTCCCCAAATGATAGGAATTATGTCTCCCTTTGAGGGAGTTTATGATAGTGTCTCTTTATTTTCCAGAATATGTGAAAACAGAAAAGGAAACATAAGGTTTCTAACTTCTAAAATATATTTAGACATCCTTTTGTTACAATTTGAAGTCTGTTTCTATGGCAGCCCTCATTATTTTGAAGTGATTTCTTGATCACATAACTTGCTCTGCATTATAAATCCAGTCCACGTTCTTTTGATAAAAACCATCTGCTATTTAATTTGGTTTGTTTTCATTAGAAGAGGATACATAATTGGTCATAAAGCTCAGATGGAAAAATCCATTAGTCATATCAATTGATTGGAATATCTGAATATTTACTGCAGAAAACACTTGGGAAAGCTTTATTTTACTTGCTGGTTAAGTATGTCATTCTCCTTTTTGAAATTCATGTTTCATTGTTTCTTCAAGACTCAGTAGCTTCCACAATTCTGGTATGTTAAAATATAAACTCCCCCTTTAAAAATGCTCACCATTTTGTTTTCAGGCTTTTACAGTTATATTGTGTTTCTTTTTGTAGTTATTTTCTGTAGCATCTTCTTGAAATACTGTCCACTTGTTATATCCCAGCAGTAATGTAGACCTAGTCTCTGGTTTTAACTCTTTAGTTTCTTAAAATCATGTGTTACAAGAATATCTTGCAGTTGGTGGTTCAGAGACCCAGGGAGATTCTCAGTTGCATTCTTCATATTGTCAGTTGTAAATACTGAATTAGTTGCTATGGGCCTTTGTGAAAAAGAAAAAAAAATGATTAAGAAATAACGTTCATCATAATTTCTAATTAATTGAAAATTCCTTATTTTTTTCTGAATTTAACATCCTGTAGTATTCATTCTCAAAATAAGCAAACTGTATTGCTAGAGCCATGGTTATATGCAAAAAATTAACTTTCTTGAAGTAAATACTCCCTTTTCCAGACATAGATTGTGTATCGTCTTATTAACAGTAGTTACCACTGCAAATATAACCATGACAGAAAGGCTGTATTTTTAAATTAATTTCTGCTCTCTTCACAGAAGCTAACATATATTTTCAGAGATTATGAAGTTAATATACATTAAACATACTGTCATTCCCTCTTTGCAATAAATTTAACATTTCATGCTGCAAAAATATTGTAGCTTGCTTAATTGTTAGCACATGGTTTAAATTTTAACTCATTAGAATGGATTATGTTGTACAGTACTATAAATTTCCATTGATGAATTGCTCATGTGATTGAAATGCAAAAGGTAATACAAAAATATAACTGCAAATTAATTTTCAAGGCATATGACTAATAATAAACTTAACATAAAATTGAGTAATAAATATTAAACCTGGTTCTTACAAGAAATGTAAACATTTTTGTATACCAGAGAAAAACTGTACTGATGACTTTAAGAATATTTTAGTTCAAAGTGACTTAAAAGCTAATGTTTTCATAGTGAATTAACAGAATATTCTTTGGTTTAACAATACATCCTAAAAATTACATTTAAAATATATGATGTTTTAAAAGAAATAAATCTAAAAATTACATGGTTAGCAATAAGTAGCAACAAGCAAACTCTTAAAATTTAGAGTAAAAAATTTCAAAGTAATTTTACCACACTATGCTGGTTCAAAAGCAGCTGTATACTATAATAAGGAACATATCTTACCTCTGCTAAAGATTTGGTAAATTCTTGATGTAGTTGAAGCATTTTCCGTTTTGATTGATTCATTTTGTTCACTTGTTAGTAGAGGATTGGGGACGAGGGTCATAAACAGCTCTTCAAAAATGACCTTAATGAAAATATGTGTCTGAACTTTGCCATTGTTTCAGCAGGACTGCTAATGTATGGAACGTGTAGTGCTGCTTAGAGGCTGCTGCAGTCTCTCACTCTTCCCACTGTGCAATCAATAAGCCTCTGAAAATACGTAATGAAAGTAATTTAACATACTGAAGGTTTCTTGTCTCCAGAGACAACATTTAGATTCAGTCTTTCTAAAAAGGAACGGCACTGCTTTTCCGAGGAAAGCCTGTTCTGAGCAGCTTTTGCAGAATGACAGCCTACCTTGTCGCTTCTCTCCACTGCAGAGAGATGCAGTGCATTCACTAATTTTGATTGGTCAGTTGTATTGGGCTTAAACTGTGCTTCATATGTATAGCAGGGATTTCCCCACCCCTACTGTTTTATGTAAGGATGCTTTTTAAAAACACTAAATTTATAAGTGATTGTATGCTGTTCTTAAATAGAATGAATAAATTAGTCTTTAAAATGTGTATTCTATTTTAGTTTGTTGGTCACTTATTCTAAACATTAAAAATGCAGGAAGATGGGGGTATAGGAAAAATTTACATAGTAAGAAAGTATATATTCTTTTTGACGCCTTGATGATTGTATTTGATGATATTTTCGTAGTTATGTTTTGGTTGATGTTCTTTGTTCTGCAAATAGAAATCCACTCCACCTTTATAGTGAACTACATTGAATTTCAACCAATTTGTTTGTATTCAAGTCATCTCTATATCCCAAATTGTTGTGAACATCTTGAGGTGTTAAGGTTGTCAGGACTTCAGTATTTATTCAGCTATTTCTTTCATTTCATTCATTCACTCATTAATTCATTTAAAATATTAATTTGATTGAGCTAAGGCAATTATATCCTGTAATATTTTTAAAACATTCCATTGCTAATAGCATAGTTGCAGTGTATAAAACTTTAATCATTTGCTTTACTTTTGGAGATTACTACTCTTCACCTTCAGTAACCCTCTTAATTTGTGGGTATATACTGATCATTGTCCATTAATATTTGGTTTCAGTTGGCTTTTTCTGTTTTTGACATGACACTTTACTTAATGGATTGTTGTTTCTCAAATATTTTGTGTGTCTGTATGCTAATGTTGAAAATATATGTACTTAATTATATAGATAATATATGCTGTCAAAATAATAAAATAGTGGTATAAATAATAAACCAAAAATATTATTCTGAACTTAAATTTCTATTAATTTTGGTTACCTGTAGCTACATTTCTGTTCTCAATAGTGATGATAAATTTTTTTGGACTTAGTACATATAGACTGGATTTGATAACTTTTGGCAATCAGATGCCTTCACTGATAGCTGAATTATTAGAGTGTTAATCTTCACTTCTTTCTATTATTTTAGAAGTATTAGTGATTTTCATTTTCAAAATGTTATATCCTGTCTTTTATTTGTAATTACAGTTGTTCTAATTTTGAAAAGCATAATCTTTCTTTGGTATTATTTAAGATTTGTTGGGGAATAGCCAATGAGTACAGGTTTTGAATTGCATTTTTATAGAAGAATAGTTGAGAGTAATATGGAAAATTTTGTTGTGACTTTCTAAAATTTTCTCCAGAGCCTTGGGTGGTAGGGCTTTGGTAATACTAAAACTAAAAACTTTGTTGTGTTATGCATTTTGAAAGTTGGAGGAAAGATCTTATTAGAATGGCAGCCACACTGATACACATAAAATGTTATTTTAAGCTTAAAACTAAAATCAGAGAAAATATGTTAACATCAGTTAAAACTTCTCATAAGGATAAGGAAATTATGTATATAGTGTTTTCTGGCTAAAAGTTCCAGTGTTTGGTTAGATGTGTTGTCACATGTCACCATAGAGTACAGAAGGCACAGAGAAATTTAAAAAGTCTACATGTGTTACCAGCAGAGTTAGGGCTAGAACTATCCAAACCCCACCCCATTAAGGTAATTTGTTCTCTCTCTTTGGAAGAATATCAAAGTACTTGAATTGGATGATCTAGGTTCTATCATTAGTTATTAGCTATATAACTTCTGGTAAGTCAAGTTTTCTTTGGGTTACAGTATATAGCTTTTATTTTTGTTGAGGTCTGTTTCTATGCTTTGCTTATTAATGAGACTAAGTTTCAAAGTTGTATTCAGTTTGTTTTGAAAAAACATAAAAATAAGCGGTACTAGCAGCAAAAAAGCTTGTTTCTGAACATTGCTTTGTATTCCTTGTACAAGTAACATGTAGTTAAAGATATGTATCACAAACAGCAGTGTTTTTTTTTATTCATTAAGTTTATTGGTACATTTTAGGTATACAATATGATGACATTCATCATTGGGAATTTGTACCTTTACGTGCTATATCTTGGTTCTTATTTTTTCCATTTCCCTCATTCCCCCCACTCCACTCCCTTAACCCCTCCATCCCCACTATTTACAAAGACTTTCTTCCTTTCCTTTCTTTCCTTTCCCCTAGCATTTAATTGTTTTTTTGTTTTTTGTTTTTTAGTGGTACCAGGGATCGAATTCGGGACCTTGTGCTTGCAAGGCAGATGCCGGAAACCACTGAGCTAAATCCCTGGCCCACTAGCATTTAGTTTTTAATTGACTACAATGCTTAGTTGAATTTTCTTTTTTAAAAAAATCACAAATATATTTGGTGCTTATACGTTACTGCGATCTTTACTGGGTGTCTTTAATTTATCTTGTTTATAACAGATATGCTAATATCTAAACCACTGGATTGAGAATCAGATTATATTGTTTTCATGGAAAAAGTCATAAAAACATATCAGAACTTATAGATTCTTGTTTCTATAGTAACAGACTTTTCACATTTGTGCATGAAATATATTTTGTATTCATATAGAATATTGACTTTGAAAAATGCTACAGTTGGTGATTTAAACCAAATTTTATGTTATAATTTTGTAGGTTAATGTTTTTGCTTAATTAGTAAACTGGGAAAGCAGTTTGGCTTCACAGTGATGACAAACCACAAAGGTGAATGTAACCTCAAAATACAGCTCAATTAAAAGCCTTTTTCAAAAGTTATGGTTTTTTTTTCAGTTACAAATATTTTGATTATTTCTTTTGATTTCTAAAAGTCCTGATATGAGGTCTTTAATTTTATACACTTCTTACATTTGCACAACTGCAAGTGTAATTGATTGTTATATTTACACTGCACTGTTTGTATCAAATTGTTCTTATCCAACTTGTGATGCTACATTTTTGATGATTATCTGTTGTAAGAAAAAAAAATCAACTTTGTGAAATATTGGAATTAACCATAACTCAAAGTGCTTTGAAACTATGTGTGAAGTATATATGCAAAAGCAGTTTTTAATTGCAGGAAATTACTTTTTAAACTGTTTAGCTTCAGAAAGTGTGCTTTCAATAAATACTTAAAATAGTTAACTCTGAACTCTCTGATACTAGTGCCCAGGAAAGAAAGAATTGTCTCAGTTGAAAGCCAATTCAAAAATTTGATTTGGCTTTTCAACTTTAAATTTCTTTCACAACAAATGTTTTATCAGAAAAATAGAAATGGACCATCTGCTGAAACCTCCACCAAGTGGGGAGTAGCCAAGTAGTGGAGAATCAGCAATGCTGATGACTCATTATCTATAGAGAATAATTAAAAGCTAATTATGTTGGATAAAGTACATGCATCAGAACTGTAACACAAAATTCCACAAACCATTCTTCCTCATCTTTTTGTTACCTCACTTGAGTAAGTAAAAAATTTAACTTTCTTCTATATATTTGTATTATTTTCCAGCATGTATTACACAAATAAATACATGGCACTTTTTCCATTTTCTCTTCTCAAACCAAGACTTTGGATCCTGTGATTGTTGTCACAGTTTAATCTCCCTCTTTTACACTACTGTTGGAATGTCTGTTTGGGGGCTTTGTCCAAATTATTACTCAGCCCAATTTTCTAGCTTTCCATTTTGACTGCCTTATATCCCTCTTTGCATCCTTCACATATTGTGTTGATATTATTGATGTTTTTCTTCTTACATTTATTTTTCTGGTACTGGGACTTGAACCTAGGGGTACTCTCCACAGAGCTATATCCCTAGCCTTTTTTCTGCTTCCTCCCTTTTTTGGGGGGAACATGTCCCTGTGTAGCCCAGGCTGGCCTTGGACTTGTGGTTCTCTTACCTCAGCCTCCTGAGTGCTGGAATTCTTTGGTGGTTTTTGTTGTTGTTTTTTGTTTTTTTTGAGGCAGGGTCTTGCTAAAGTGCCCAGGCTAGCCTCAGAGTTGTGATACTCCTGCCTCAGCCTCCTGAGCAGCTGGGATTACAAGTGTGCTCCATTATGCCCAACATTCCTCTTATATTTTAATCAAAGAATTCTGTGAACAGCCATGTTTGTGCTTCCAAGCCCTCTTACTGATTTTTCTTTCTTGTTGCTGCCTTTACTTTGTATAATTCTCCCACTCTAAGTTACTGTGCAGAATCAGATTCATTTCTGTGTCTTGAGGCCAAGTCAGTTGACCAACTGGATTATATGTTTAACAAAGCTATGTCAAGTCTCCTGTGCTATTATGAGTCCCCCACTCTGGTGGGAGACATAGTTGAATGGCTCCCTTCCATAATCTAATGGCCTTTTATTGAAACTAATTACATACATAATGCTTATAAAGGCTGCTATTCTTTATATGTAGAGCCAGAGAATGGCAGAATTCTTCCATAGACAATAGTTCCGCTATAGACTGAGAAGTATGCATTTTGCCACTTAGATCAATCATTTGGAAAAATGGACAGATTTAAAGAGTTTTCTAATAATTCTTAAAAACTGTGATCAGTGATGACTTTCTGCTAGTTATATTCAGCATTATATATTCAAGTACTTCTACTACCTTCTAGTCTTCATTTTGGTTTATAATGTCTAGGAAAATTCCTGCTGTTATTTGATTGGTATTATAGAGAATTTATACAGCAATTGGGGAAAATTAACAGTATTGTCTTCCAAGTTGTGGACAGTGTCCATTATTTTTATGTATATATGTATTTATGGTAATGGGCATTGAACCCAGGACTTTTGTGCTGAGCTACATCTCCAGACCTTTTTATTATTTATTTTTCAATTTTCTTTATTTTGAGAGAGGGTCTCAATAAGTGGTTCAGGCTAGGCTCAAACTTGTGATCATTCTGCCTCAGTCTCCCAGAGTGCTGTGATTATAGGATTGTACCACCATTCTCAGCCTATCTTTGTTTTATCAGTGTTTTGTAGCTTGTTGCCTATACAACTGCAGATATTTTGTTAGATTTTTACCTAATTTCTTTAATGCTAGGGAAGTAACATCTAATT